TTATTATACAAATTCACCTCCTTAGAATCCCCAACTAAACGGTGACAACAAAAATTCTATTACCGAAACTGCATCAGGTAAATTGAGAAGAACATATTTGTTTATATACATGTTTAATAATATTGCATTTTTATATATATGTATATAAATATTTTATAAATTTACATAAAAAAAGATAGTGACACGAAAAATATGGATGACGGGAATGACCCCATTTCTCCCAATAAACCAACTTCAGACATCCAGTATTCAATTGAAGTAAATAGCCTCCAGACAGTTTTAAAAAATCTGCATAATCAAGCGAAGAGTACTAACAACGATGCTCTTTCCGAAAATAACAGTACGTAATCAATTATACATTTGATACAGTTAAGTATGTTTTAAAATTAGATAATATTGGTCGTTTTATACCATGAACCCATTGAAAATGGGAAATCAGTTTTGTGAAAAGTATGTAACGGGCAGAAGGAATCATCGCAGACCTCAGAAAGTATATATAGTCTTGATCAGGACGACGAGCTGAGTCGATATACCCCTGTCCGTCTGCCCGTCCGTCTGTCCCTCTGTCCGTCCGTCCGCCCGTCCGTATGAGTGCGTCGATCTCAGAAGCTATAAGAGGTAGAGACTTTAGACTCGTGTATACCATAGGCAGTACAAGTTTATCATATTTTTTCATAAAGATTGTCCGACAACAAACGAAATTATTCAACAAGTAAATTCTCACACTGCATTATTTTTCATTAATTATTTCAACTTTTAATGATAGTTCCTGCTATGAATACGTAGTTTATGAATATTTTACATTTTGTATAAGGCATTTAAAATTACAGAAAAGTGGGCTCTGCTTAAAATTAATATTTGTATGTGATTGGAACAAATTGTTATTGAACCGTAAAGTTGTGTTTTTATTTGAATATGCTTAATAGAAATAGTATAGCATAATAGCTTAATAGAAATAGTAATAGAATAGTATAGCAGTATAGCAATAGTATAGCAGCACAGGAACAAAGTATCTCCTAATTATGCACTTCTGTATTGCGGTAGTACCTTTAGTTGTTATATCTAATGTGCACCATTAAATAATTGGCATCTTTACAGCGTCGGATATCGCGGATACTTTATCTAATTCGGAATTCAATGAAAAACTTTTTGACGATCTTGGAACATCAATTATTATTCATAGTGTCCTTCCTACCGAAGATGATTATGAGTTAAACATTGTGCCGCCAAGTAAAATTGCTTTACTTGAAACCCAGGATGGAAACATAACGGAAAGCTCAGACTTAAATATAATTGAATGTCAAAGTATTACTGAGAGCACTACAAGTGCAGACGACTTAACCGTAATTGAGTTCCAGAAACCTTCAGAGATTGATAACAGTGATAACAAGCCTCCTAAAAAAACAGTAGATGAGATTGTAGAAACATCAAGTTCTGTGAATATGTCAGAAGAACAGAACAGTAATCAAAATGATCATTGTCTAGCACCGAGCACAGAAAAGGATGCGCAGATAACTGTCCCTGATAATATCGTTACCGAGAAAATAGATGAAATAGTTGATAATTTTATTGAAAATGATCAAAAACCAGATACAGAAATCAATCCACCCAGTTCTAATGAAGATTCAAATGAACCCGGAGGAACGAATATTAACATAATACCAAAAGTGGTGAAAAAAGAAAGCTTTGATGAGATCGATTTAAAAACAGAAAATGAAAAGGAAGATTCAATACCATTACAGGAGCCTGAAGATACACAACGAAAGTTAACAGGAATGGACACCGGGATGTTGAATTACAAAGATGTTTCTATGGATAAAAATTCATTAACTCAGTCTGAGGCAGACCCAGTTGTTAACATTTCATCTAAAGACGAGAAAACTGCGCAGAATGCTGTAAACAGCTTACTGGAGCCTGGGGGCATACAAGTTGAGCAAAATATTGCACCGTCTGATGGGGAAATTGAAGCAAATAAGACGGAATCTTTAAAATCTGAGATTGATTCAATAAATCATAATGAGAATGCTGAAAAGATGAACGAAAACCTCAAGAGTTTAGGTAATGCTCATTTAAAGAAACACAATTATATATATATATTCATTATTTTATTTATTTTTTTTTAATGCAATTTGGACCATCGAATTTTTGAAGATAATACAAGCGATAATGGACCTATGAAAGTAATATGTAAGTATATGATAATAACATAATATTATTACATTGCCGCAATTAGTGAATGGTATGTTTGAAAAGGCATATCTGCACTGTAAGGGGAAAACTGTAAATTAAAACAAGAGCTTTATTTGGGGGTTTACAACTACAAAGTACCTTGACTCAATCGACCGATTTGATTATCAGGCTGATCAATAGAGGAATATTGACATTGACTTCGAAAACACTTTACTAAGAAAGCCTGAAAAAAAAAAAAAGATTCAAGCTTCAATACCAACCGTTTATACAACCTCACAGCCAGACATTGCACAAAACAAAGATCTAACTAGATCTAATCGTCTATTCAGGTTTTTAATCTATTGAATATAAGATGTGTCAATTAGATAGTAAATTTAGATGGGCTTATATTTTTACATTTTAAGAAATTAATCTTGCAATCTTTTTTCGATGTTTCAGAATATTAAGTATACGATACATAATTAAGATTTTATGAATACAAGACACACTAATTTGTAACATATTATTTCAAAACAGCTAACGAACCAAGCGATGGATCGAAAAACGAAGATCTTATTTCTGATGTAAATAGTGGTAAGACTAAAGAAAATATATGATTCTATAATTTGTCCTTAACATTAGCAGAACAAATCTTCGTTGCCTTTGAGTAATCAATTAATTGGCTCCCAAATCAGTAAGACGGCATCACAAAAAATTAAAAAAATGTCCAACGTTAAGGATAAACAATTATCAAATCATACATCGAACCGATTAGTGCAGACGCCAATTGCTGAATTACAGCTAAAATCATTTAAGAACTCGACCGACGAAGGCTCGTGGTATGAAGTTTACACTGAACCAAATGAGTTGAATATGAATACAAATGAATCCAGTAATGCTAAAGAGTCTGACCAACAAAATGCGCTCTTAGAAGAAATAAAGTCATCTAAGAATATTGAGCGATCTCCAAGTTACATAAATGGAGCGCAAGATGAAAACAATGACCCAGCCAAGCCGAAACAATCTATTTGCTATTTTATTTCATTCGATGGCAACGATGATAGAACAAGTTTTAAGATACCAAAAAAGTTCTTAAGGCAATCAGAGTATAGTATCAAGAAAAATAGTACAAAATGTAATAATAGCAAGATCTCTTTGGATGAAGAAAACTTAGATGATTCTGTAATTGAACTAAGTTACCAGGAATTTATTACTCCAAAGCTACAAACAATCCAAGAACTGAACGAAAATGAAGTAAGTACTGAGCTGAAAGTGGATACGGATAAATCTGTTGCTAATTTTCAAACTGGCTTCAAAGAAAAAGAAGATATTACAAGTAAGATTAAAAATGAACCAATTCCCGATAGCCATGATAACAATAAACAAAATCAAAATAGACCAAATAAGCTTGACGGTCAAAATCTTTGCTCTACTACTGATAATATACAACTAACGAATAGCGCTAACATTATAAAGAGGGCTTATAGAGCCTACAAAATTCGTAAATCACGAGATGAGTGTGACGAAGTAAACGGCCTTAAAGACAGTAAGACTGAAGATAATGAAATGTTAGCTGATTCGAAAACTACACTTAATCCAATTCATGCAGTTATTAAAATTCAGAAATCATTTCGAATGTTTTTGTCACGAAAAGCTACACAGAAGGCACCCCAGATTGTGACTCAGGAAAGTGCAATATATACGGTATCTGAAATTGTGGCTGCAATTAGAATCCAAAATACTTTCCGTGATTATATTAGACGCAAGAAACGATCGAAACCCGAATGGTTTGTAGGGTCGCAACCTATATCACTATTGTCAAGTGCTTCGAGCGTTCCAGCTGCGGTTGAATCACTCGTTGCTACCACAGATGACAAGATAGAATCACCCACACCTGAGCCCGACCACAATTCACATATCGAATTAAGTAATTTGGATGCTCAAAGCAATGGCTCACTTGAACTGGCTACTGATATCGACAACATTGTTAATGACTTATATTCAAGTAAAGTATTTGAAACTGATAATGGAGATTCTAATAATTTAGCAGGTTTAGCAAATGATGAAGTGTTCGATTTTGTTGAGGATGTAGGGGCTATGAAGAGTTCGTATATTGACCGAGCCTCCACAGGTAATATACGTTCTCTTAACATACTTACATTTAAATTAAAATTTTTAATTTACCAGAGGGTGCCACAATGCGGGAATTGCTGAACGAGTTTATAAGGCAAGAGATCCAATTCTCTTATCATACTGACAACCGAGAGCACAATAGGGGGATTGAAGAAGTACATGAGATTCAATGTGTTAAAAGAACGGTGTCACTCTCTAATCTGGCCGAGGATACATCAGACAACGATGGGTCAGAAAATATAAAAGAAGACAAACTGCAGCATCTCAATGAATCGGAAAGTGAGTTGGATACTCTGGATAGCGCAGCTCTAAAATTATCAAAAGCGGATCAGATCATTGAGAAAATGTCCCGGCGACGATCTTCAGAAATACGAGAGAAACAAGAGAAGGAGAATTGTAATATTAGGGATTCCGTATTTGATGAGCCTCTCGTTCAGCCAATGAGCGATTTGCAAGGCCAGAACTCACTAGATACTGAGGATGGTGATATAATATATAAGCGCCTGCAACGAGATGAAACTCGGGAGAGCTCAGCTCAAAGCGAGTCTGTTATATTTGGAAATGCTGATGAAGACAGGGCTATGGCGAATGATCCGGAAATTGCACGATCCCAGCTATCTCGGCATTACACGATAGCCGGTGACGATCCAAAAGCTATTTTTAAGTCCGTGATAATTAACGATTCAGTTAAATATATTGACGATGAAAATGAGAATGCTATCGATGGCTCCAAGGGCAGCAGCAGTTTCTGTTTGGACGACGAAACGTCTGAAAACATTCGCAAAAAGATGATGGCATATTCCTTGTCGGAAGCGGACTCTGATTACTGTGACCCGAATAAGATCATGAAGGATGACTTTCATATAGACACTGCAATGGCAGATGCCATGGACACATCTACAGAAACCGAATCGACAATTGTTTCCGCTGCTGCTAAGATACAGGCAGGCGCCCGGGGATTTCTAACTAGGCGACGATTGCGACGAGCCAGTGCAGGCACTAAGTCATCTACCCAGGAAACCAAGGCATCTTTCGGGAATGATGCTATAAGCGAATCACTGGAACGCTTCATTGAAGAGGAAGCTGCTAAGAAAATTCAAACAGCATATCGATTGCATACTAAGAAGCCCAAACACCAGCCACTGGGTCTTACAAATGGCTCCAGTCTGGAAAGCACCTTGGCAGCCAAACGGCAAATGCTTCAGCGCGGGGACGCTTTGCAAAATGATTCGAATTCTTCCCCCGAGAATGAAAATACCGATTGCATCTCCGATAACCAGTCAAAGAAACCTATTGAGACGATTCCGTCGCCAAACAAAGGTAAGCCATTAACATTATACCATTAACATTATAATACTTTTGTACATTTTATATTATACTTATGGATGTCAATTGATTAAAGTTATCTAATAGTAGTATCTAATAACAGTAGAAGAATAAATATATACTCAAAACTATAAATGTTGGTTTTTATATAATCGGACCATATTGTTATACGCTGAGCCCATTAGAAATAGAAAAACAGAATATAATGTTTTTGTGAAAACGTATGTAACAAACAGAAAGAGGCGTGACTGACTCTATGAAGTATGCATATTATTGATCAGGACGACGAGCTGAGTCGATTTATCCCTGTACGTGTGTCAGTCAGTCTGTCCGTATATATAAACGCGTCTAAATCAGAAGATATAAGAGCTAGAGACTTAAAATTGTATTTAAATGTCCGTATATATAGCGAGGATATCGAGTTTATCTCCAACAATCCCGTTATTTTTGATCGATAAAATCATTAGTAATAAAATCAGTAATAAAATTGCATCTGCTATATCTTTGGAGCTACAGTCGCCAAATTTTAAATATAGTTTCATATGTATTTTTCAGAACTGGCCTCCACCCGCTTATTCACCCTTACAAACACCAATTTGTAAAACCCATATTTCAAATAATAGAGACTTGTGCTTTGGCATGCATGCATTTCAATGTTATAATCACGATCTGTGTGCGTACGTATGTGCATGTGTTGTTTCTTGTGTTAGCAAAACGACGCGGGGAATTATTGAAATAGCAATTGCTTTCTCACTTGTTAATTTTAATTGTTATTGTATATTATGTATATTATTATCTAAAATAGTTAGATGTA